CAGTAACAGTCTTGGCTGGGTGATAACAAATTGCAGTGTTGGGGTACAGTCGAAAAGAAGCACCGTATGCTCAGAACCAGTGACTGATGTGGTGTGGGAATGGGGGCACCTCCCATCACTAACAGCCTATTCACAGACTTCTTGTGTTCAGTTCCCATGACTTTGGGCTCTGCTGCCTTAAATATGAAGTGGAATGATTTCACTAGAAGACATAACCATGGTCCCATTGAAAGAGAAGTTGTGATTGCCATGTGGACACTCCTGTCTTCTCATGTCATTGATTGAACAGTCAAACAAAGGAGTTAAACTAATGTCTAGGTTGATTAAATCTGATTATAAAGATAAAATATGCTTATTGGGGTTAGGAGTGCTAGATAAAAATATAAGATATCCAATTAAATTTGAATTTCAGGGAAACAGTAAAGGCAATATTAGGGACATACTTACATTAAATAATTATTTGCTATTTATCTGAAGTTCAAATTTGATTGGATTTTCTATGTTGTTATTTTCTGAAACTGACAACTCGAATTGGGTGTAAGGTGGTATATTTCTGGAAACCAAGGGATTCACAGGTACTGTTGATCTTACTTTTCTTTCCCTTTCTAACCATTTTAGTTCACATCCTCATCACCATACAAACTATTGCTATAGCCATGACAGGCCTGCTTACTCTGGTGTTTCCTCTACAGTCAATCCTGTATACCAAGAATAGAAAAGTCAACCTAAAACTGCTAACATACTATATCACACTCCTGCTCAAAAAGTATCAAGGAGTCTTCTTTGCTACAGAGACAAAAGTTCAAACCCCGGAGCATCAAACTCAAAGCCTTTCATGCTTCATGCTCTTTTCCCACAACACCCTTAAGTGAGCTCCTTAATCCAGCCAGATATGTTTTCTTCGCTGATGCGTGTTTTCTCACATAAACTTATCTAAATCTGAGATTTAAAGTTCCCCATCTTCTGTTCAAGTTTCTCTTACAATTCCAACAATAAAAGGTAACTCCCTCTGAAATAATACAACAAGAAATCATAGATTTGTACTTATAACTGTACATGTATTTCCCCACATTGACAGTAATCTCTTTCTTTGGGTTCATATTGAACTTGTAAAATATTTTAAATTACACAAGTTATAAGAATTAACATTACCATGTATTAGGGCTGGTTCTAAACTCCATATATGTGTGTGTGTGTGTGTGTGTGTGTGTGTGTGTGTGTGTGTGTGTGTCTCTCTCTCTCTCTCTCTATATATATATATATGCTATAACCACTAATAAATAACCAATTTACAGCATTTGGAAAGTCTACACATGGTGGTGCTAGTAGAAACCAGCATGTGGATAAGGCAAATACATTTTCAAACTAACTGTTATTCCGAAGAGGACAAATCATTGCCTCTTTCAAAATAGAAGAGGTCAAATATAATATATATATATATATATATATATATATATATCCACACACACATACATATATATCCACATATATATACGTAACATTTTAACTCAATCATCAGATATATCCAAAATAATGTATAAGTAGTTTCAATTGTTATATTCATCTTACAAATAAAAAAGCAGAGGAACAAAGAAATTAAGTAACTTGCCCAAGTTCACATGTGTAAATGGCAGAGTTGGAATTTAAAAGCAGGCAGTCTGTCTCCAGAGTCTGTACATCTAACTACTCTTTTGTACAATGTCTGTGAGGAATGCATTTTCCTGATTTAAAAAATTCAAGCAGTAAAATATGATTAAATTATCCCTTTTTTTTTTTGCGGTATGCGGGCCTCTCACTATTGTGGCGTCTCCCATTGCGGTGCACAGGCTCCGGACGCGCAGGCTCAGCGGCCATGGCTTACGGGCCCAACCGCTCTGCAGCATGTGGGATCTTCCCGGACCAGGGCACGAACCCGTGTCCCCTGCATCGGCAGGCGGACTCTCAACCACTGCGCCACCAGGGAAGCCCTAAATTATCCTTTGATTTACCAATTTTCATAGTTACCTACCCAGAGATTATTATTATAATCAATTTGGTTTGTATTTTTTCATATGTTTTTTGTGTATTTCTATGTCTATGGATATGTACCCATAGAAAGCATATACTATTGTTTGAATATGTTTTAATGTATATAACATATAGTCTATGTAAAAATAATAACAGTATAGGGAACATCAGTGTACATGCCTCTTTGGGAATATATTCTGTAGGGTAGGTACAGAACAAGTGAATTTTTACTTTTAAAGTGCTTATATCTAGTCACATTCCCAATAGTAGTGCTTGATAGTATCTATTTCATTTCACCCTTATTAATACAATTAAGTATATAATTGTATAATTATAAAACTTTTTGTTTTAATTTGATGAATGAAATTTTCAACCTCATTGCTTCTGTTTTCCCAAATGCTGGTAAAGCTGGACCTTTTCCATATGTAATTGACCATATTTGTATTTTATCTGTGAATTGCCCATTTCTATTTCTTACTTATTTCCACTAGATTGTTCATCTTATATGCACTGATTTTATGACTTTCATATATATCAGTATACTATGTGTATATATGCTGTCAATATTTTCACCCTGTCTTCTGCTTAAATTTTAACTTTGTTTACCATGTCTTCTTTTCGTTATTTATAGTATCTTTTGTTTTACAAGTTTTTTTCTATATTTAAATTTTTATTACCCTACCCCTTGCAACCTATTCAATACCTACTACCTGGACTGATCTTTTCAAAATAGAAATAAGATCATTTCACTTTTCTTCTTGAAACACATGGGTGACATCCCATTGCAGACAACTTACTCTGGCTGTATTGCCCTATGTGCTCTCCCTTCGGCAGTCTCACACTATGCTGCTCTTTTAATCTCTCTTCTCCAGTTGCATGAGAGCATGTTTCCTGGTCTTTTTTTTTTTTTACATCTTTATTGGAGTATAATTGCTTTACAATGGTGTGTTAGTTTCTGCTTTATAACAAAGTGAATCAGTTATACATATACATATGTTCCCATATCTGTTCCCTCTTGCGTCTCCCTCCCTCCCGCCCTCCCTATCCCACCCCTCTAGGTGGTCACAAAGCACCGAGCTGATCTCCCTGTGCTATGCGGCTGCTTCCCACTAGCTATCTATTTTATGTTTGGTAGTGTATATATGTCCATGCCTCTCTCTTGCTTTGTCACAGCTTACCCTTCCCCCTCCCCATATCCTCAAGTCCATTCTCTAGTAGGTCTGTGGCTTTATTCCTGTCTTACCCCTATGTTCTTCATGATATATTTTTTTTCTTAAATTCCATATATATGTGTTAGCATACGGTATTTGTCTTTCTCTTTCTGACTTACTTCACTCTGTATGACAGACTCTGGGTCCATCCACCTCATTACAAATAGCTCAGTTTCGTTTCTCTTTATGGCTGAGTAACATTCCATTGTATATATGTGCCCCATCTTCTTTATCCATTCATCTGATGATGGACACTTAGGTTGTTTCCATCTCTGGGCTATTATAAATAGAGCTGCAATGAACATTTTGGTACATGACTCTTTTTGAATTATCGTTTCCTCAGGGTATATGCCCAGTAGTGGGATTGCTGGGTCATATGGTAGTTCTATTTGTAGTTTTTTAAGGAACCTCCATACTGTTCTCTCCATAGTGGCTGTACCAATTCACATCCCACCAGCAGTGCAAGAGTGTTCCCTTTTCTCCACACCCTCTCCAGCATTTATTGTTTCTAGATTTTTTGATGATGGCCATTCTGACTGGTGTGAGATGATATCTCATTGTAGCTTTGAAATGCTGGTCTTTAAATAATGCTTTCTTTCCAAACTCAGGAGATTTGTACTTGCTGTTCTCTCTGCATGGAATGCTCTGTCCTGCATCTCCATGGGACTGGTGTTATGGATTGAACAGTGTCTTCCAAAAAAGATATATTGAAATCCTAGCCCCCAGTTAGTGTGTGTGGTAGATGGAAATCAGCATTCAGATCAATAGATTAGCTAATACTGACACCAATACTGACATCAGTGAGAAGGCCCCAGAGGCAGAGTCAACCAGTACAATTACTTAGTAACCAAGAGTTGCAGATTACCGGAACTTTTTAAGGCAGATGACTGAGATAGAGGATTTCCTTTCAGGATGATGGGGCAAAAAAACCATTTACTAAAGAGGAAAAATGTTTTTGAAAGGTTGAGTTTTGTTTTTTTCTTAACAGAGCAATTGGCTAAAGAATTTATAGAAAAGAATTGCTGAAGCAGAAATAGAAAAAAATTGAATTATTTAATTGTAAGAAAATAATATATTTTGACTTTATTTTTCATACATTTATGGTGCAAAAGAGTTATTTCTACCATTTCAGGGATATTAATGTTGCATTAATTTTTAAAACATAATTTGGGCAGAAATTAGAAGTTGCACCTGGTTGCACTCTTATTTGCTAAGGCAATACATCAGGTAGGATTCAGTCACAGGGTCAGAACCACTATGAGTGAAATGAAAAAAAGGATTTATTGAATCATTACGATTTCTAGAAACTGGTGAAGAGTCTCTGGAAGGCTGTTGTCTCTGTTCCTGGAGGTGGGCCTGAAGTTACTCTTAGGTCAGCAGGGCTGAGTGTGAAGTGGGGAGAACCCACATCTGGCCCCCACTGCTTCTAGCCTTAAGTGACCTTCAGAAGAAGCTGAAGCTCTTTACCAGAGGACTGCTCACCTTGCTGAAGTAGGACCAGAGAAGGTGAAGTAGGAGGTGCAGCAGGAGTGGAGGGAGAGCCAGATAAAACCAAATCCAGGTTTAGTAAGCAGAGACTTTATTTGGAAGTGACCAAATTGACCTTACATTTCCCCTCAGCATGGGCTTCCCTGGTGGCACAGTGGTTGAAAGTCTGCCTGCCGATACAAGGGACACGGGTTCGTGCCCTGGTCCGGGAGGATCCTACATGCCACTGAGTGGCTGGGCCCGTGAGCCATGACTGCTGAGCCTGTGCGTCCGGAGCCTGTGCTCCACAATGGGAGAGGCCACGACGGTGAGAGTCCCGCGTACTGCAAAAAAAAAAAAAACATTTCCCCTCAGCTTGACCAAACTTTAGACAGGTTTCTTCCTAACTGTAGATCCCTGACCTCCTCTTTCTTAGATCACTTTACCTTAGGAAACTTGGAATTGTAAACTCTTTCTCTGCTCCTTAGAAACATTCCAACCTCTTGTCAGTTTCACCACCCTGGAAGTGACTTTCTCAAAAACCTGGGGACCATCTGACATGTGAACATCAAAGCAGATAGCATCTGTATCTCCCAGACTTTGTGGGAAGGTAGGAGCCTGACTTTCATGGGCACCAATGAGCAGACAGATGGCCTAGTCACAGAGAAAAATATTTGCAAGCTCAGGAATAACTCAATATGCTGTGCACATCCCATTGATCAGTCTCCCCCACAGCAGCCTCCAGTACTTTTCCACTAGCTCACCCTGGCCCCTAAACACAATCCCACCTTGCGTTTCAGTAGAGTTGAGTTCAGTCTTCTCTCCTATTGCAATATTCTTGAACAAATTCTTCTGTGGCTGTTTAACTTTGTCTGGTGCGAAGTGTGGGAGCTACAGTGACCCCTGGCACCTTACACTGACCTTCAGAAGACAGTGCCTGTTGCTTCCTTTCCACGTTCTGAGTCTCTTGCAAATTTCACTTGTGGCCAACCACACAGGGAAAAGAATTCTGGAAAATACTGTTTCAGCTTGGGTAAATTGATATAGTACAAAATGAAACCAGTGAATAATTGATTACCATTTCTTGTAAGAGTATAGGCTGTTCCTCACTCTTAAATGCACTGATAATAACCAGAAAGACCAGAAAGACTCCAGTTCTATGTAAGGTGTTTTCATCCGTAGTCCCTAACATTGTCCTGCCCCAAATCTTTCCTTTTCATCCCCCCCATTTCTGTCATTGTTTCTACTTAATTCAATATCATTGTCTCCATGTCAGTATAATATTTCTGATAATAAATTACATTACTATTTAATTTACTTACCAAACAGCAGTAGTAATAACTGTGCTGTAGACATTTTCAAAAGTGATTTTCCAGGATGAATCATGTAAAGCTAGTACAAACTGTATGAGGATGATTTTGTTATCCCCATTTTACACATGAGAAAACTGAATCCCAGAAAGTTTAGGTTATTTACTTGTTATCGCTAATAAGTGGCAAAGCCAGTATTGAGACCTGAGAAGTCTGGCTCCAGAGACCAAACTCTTAACCTCTGCACTGTGCTGTCCCCCATGACAGCAGAATGAAAAAGAGAAAATAGAAAGAAAAGAATCTTCTATAGGAAGTGATAAAAACTGAAAGACAGGTTAAGAAAAAGAACTGCAGAGATGAACAATGACACAGAATGATAGTAATCAGAGAAGAAAATGAGGAAGATAGGAATGGAGAATGATAGACAGAAGTCCATACAATCAGAGAGGCAGAAACAAGAGAAAAAATTGTCAAAAAGACAGCAGCACAGAGGCCAAGACATTCAGGTTTTAAAAAAAGTATATTAAATATCCTGCCTATTTGTGAGGTGTGTTATTTTTTTTTCTGAACTGTAAATCCTCAGGAGTAAAAGTTGAAGTATTTTAAATACATTAAAATGGACATATATACACTACCAAATGTAAAATAGATTGCTAGTGGGAAGCAGCCACATAGCACAGGTGGATCAGCTCAGTGCTTTATGTCCAACTAGAGCGGTGGGATAGGGAGGGTGGGAGGGAGATGCAAGAGGGAGGAGATATGCGGATATATGTATATGTATAGCTGATTCAGTTTGTTATACAGCAGAAACTAACACACCATTGTAAGACAATTATACTCCAATAAAGATGTTAAAAAACAACAGCAACAACTAAAACAACTGTTAGGTGAAAACAACTAAACACAGACAAAGGAGTTTATATTTAGACAAATATGATCTATGAATAAGAGTGATGAGGAATAATTTAAAACAAAATGTGGAGAAAAAATGTTAAAATGAGTAGCTTAGCAACAGTAGGTCAGTGACACATTTAAGAAATAATGACAATATTGGCTGTTTGTTGGGAGACCGTAGATTTTTTTTTTTTTAAGTTACTTGGTGTTGTATATGCTAACTAAACTTGGAAAGAGACATGATTTAGAACTGAGTGAGCTGTAGTCTCTAAATTGTCTGCACAAAAGTCCTTACAGTGACACCCTCAGTGTGCTAATTTAAACCGGAAAAATGTACTGATTTCTTTCAGGTCACAGTGGCTGTTAGAAACTTGGGAATCAGTAGACCTGTAAAAAACCTCTATGGAGAAAATGTTCTGGTTCCTTTTTCAGAGCAGGGGAACTCCTGTTTAAACTGTGTTGGAGGATGGTCTGAGATCATCTCCATTTTTTCCACGTGCTTTGTTCCTGAAGCATGGATGTGACTACAGTAAAGTATCAACATCACGAAGCTGGCAGTGTGTGCTACAATCAGTTGTCAGGTGTTCCTGGTTTTGTTCTGCAGATGGCACAGAAGGAATGCGCAGAGATGACTGCCTATTTCCCAAGAGTCTCAGACTAGTTGTTGTACACCTGCATAACTGAAGACTGTTCTGCGCAGTTACTTAAGTTCCCTCATTCCTTCATTTGAACATGCACCAACAATCTTCTTCACACATTTTTGAAGTATAACTGAAGTACAGTGAACTACACACAGTTGATTCTAATTTGCACATCTCGTATTTGTGAATTCGCCTACTTGCTTAAATTTATTTATAACCCGGAAATCAATACTCACGATGCTTTTTCAGTCCTCCAGACATGTGCAGAACAGCAAAACATTAAAAATTTGCCTTCCCTTCATGTTTCAATTCTCAGATTGTCAACAAGTAATTTTTTTTTGGCGATGCATACAGTGGCATCTTGTTCACAATTTTTGTGCTTTTTTTTTTTCGGTACGCGGGCCTCTCACTGTTGTGGCCTCTCCCGTTGCGGTGCTCTGGACGCGCAGGCTCAGCGCTCAGCGGCCATGGCTCACGGGCCCAGCCGCTCCGCGGCATGTGGGATCCTCCCGGACCGGGGCAAGCCCTGTGCTTTTTGTTGGTGATTTTGCTGTTTAAAATGGTCTCCCAGGGCTTCCTTGGTGGCGCAGTGGTTGGGAGTCCGCCTGCCGATGCGGGGGACACGGGTTCGTGCCCCGGTCCGGGAGGATCCCACATGCCGTGGAAAGGCGGGGCCCGTGAGCCATGGCCGCTGGGCCTGCACGTCTGGAGCCTGTGCTCCGCAATGGGAGGGGCCGCGACACTGAGAGACCCGCGTACCGCAAAAAAAAAAAAAAAAAAAAAAAGTAAAATGGTCTCCCAAGCCTAGTACTGAAGTGCTATCTGGTGATCCTAAGTGTAAGAAGGCTGTGATGTGCCTAATGAAGAAAAGATGTTGTTTAGATAAACTTCCTTCAGGCTCTGAGTTCAGTGTTAATGAATCAACAATATGGTACCTCCACAAAAGGAAGAGGAAACTTGCCAATCTGTATCTGAGGTTGCTTTGGAAAGTGCTAAAGTAACATTTATAGGTGGAGCTGTGGAAAATATGGGAAAGTGGCTAAATTTGTGTATTCATGAGATGATGACTGATTTAAAAAAAAACATAGCGGACAGAATTATGCTGAGGCTAAAAGCCAAAGAAATGTACATTTATATTACCTAAGGTCAGGAAAATGTTAAACCCTCCTTGACTAGTGTTGGCTGGCTTGCATGTTTCAAAAGGTGATATCAGGTGTTAAAATGATTAAAGAAAACAATTTAGGTGATACAAACAAACTTTAACACTGCATGAAACAGCAGTTTCCTCTCAAGAGTTCAGAGAGCTGCAAAGTAAGGGGGAAGGGCTGCAAGCTTTTATAGAAAGGCAAGTGTTATAGACCAAAGGGCTCACTGGGACTACGTGCATAGGAGCCACAGCACTATGGCACTGGCTTTTGAGAAAAGACCTTTTTCTTGCGAGGTTGGCTAGCAAGGAGACAGGAATCATGGTTCATATCTCGCTCCCTTATCTGGGGTTGGGTCAAGCTTTTAGGAGTTAGGGGAGGAGCCCTGATGTGTGGACAGGCTGGCGAAGCAGGTTTCCATTGGAGGGTTTTGGCACTTGGCCATCTAGGAGTGGTAAAGGGGCTTCAGCACCTGATCTTCCTGGACGCTGGACCCTTCGCTTTGCGAAGGGGTTCCGGTGTGTAGGCTCCAGTCACGTCCTGGTCCGTTGGCTCGGGGCTGGGAGAAACTTTGGTTTCCGGTGTTAGAGGTCAAAATTTTCTCTTCCGCGCATGCTTGGGCTGCATGACTTGCGGTTTTGTTCTGTTGTCTTGTGAGAAACAGGATGGGACCAGATTTGGAGTGGTTCTGCGGTTACACAAGCGGGAAACAAGGAAGTAGCTGGCTTCAGTTAATTGGTTGGGGTTTCATATCGGAGCTTATTTGCATAGATAAAGGAACAGGAAAGTAAGTATAGAACCTAAAGTTGGCTTGGTGTTTGGGGAGTGTCTGACTGGTTACACTGAGTTTCTAGCCTAGCGGAGTAGCTTTAAGAGCGAAATGAAAATTGTGTAAGTTTCGGTTTGCTGATGAGGTACCCCGGGAAGGAGCGGCTCCATCTTGGGGCTAGAAATTTAACACAAGTGAAAAATGTTAAATTGGTGTGTGAGGTAGGTTTTGTAAATCAGGAGACAGCAGAAGAATTTATTTATTTATTTATTTATTTTTTTTGCCGTACGCGGGCCTCTCACTGTTGTGGCCTCTCCCGTTGTGGAGCACAGGCCCCGGACGCGCAGGCTCAGCGGCCATGGCTCACGGGCGCAGCCGCTCCGCGGCATGTGGGATCTTCCTGGACCGGGGCACGAACCCGTGTCGCCCGCATCGGCAGGCGGACTCTCAATCACTGCGCCACCAGGGAAGCCCTATAGTTGATTTTTAAGACTTATTGTCTCATTTTAAGTGCTACGTTTTTCTTTTTCTTTTCTTTTTTTTGGCGGTATGTGGGCCTCTCACTGTTGCGGCCTCTCCCGCTGCGGAGCACAGGCTCCGGACGCGCAGGCTCAGCGGCCATGGCTCACGGGCCCAGCCGCTCGGCGGCATGTAGGATCTTCCTGGACCGGGGCACAAACCCGTGTCCCCTGCATCGGCAGGCGGACTCTCAACCACTGCGCCACCAGGGAAGCCCCACTGCAGAAGAATTTTAAAAATACCTTCTAAGTTTTACACAAGAGGAAGGTTATGTGAGAGAACAGGTTTTCAGTGCTGATGAGACAGGATTATTTTACAAGGATTTTGGCAAATGAACGTGTATTACACAAATGACATATTGGTTGATGAAAATGTTGACTGGAGAGGCTCACAGGAACCTAACTCTATTTCCCCAGGAGCAATAGTTGTATTTTCTAATTCAGTATTTACAACAACTATATAGAACGTAACTACCGTGTATAAAAAGCACTGACTGTATATTTAAAGTATACAGATTGATCCATTTATATACATACACATATCATAGCTACAAGATGATGAGCGTTTTCATCACAATCTAAAGTTTACTTGTGCCCCATTGCAATCAATCCATCCTGTCCTCCACCACGTGCTCCAGAAAATCACTGAATTGTTTTTTGAATCTTTAAATTAGTTTTAGACTTTTATATAAATGTAATACACTCTTTAAAAAAGTTTGACTCATTTTACTCAGCATAATGGTTTTGAGATTTTTAAGTGTTATTTTTCCATTGCTGAGTACTGTTCCATAGAATGCATATACCATTCCTCTGTTCATGGACATGCATACTGATTTCAGTTTTTTAGCTGTTACAACTAAAGCTGCTATAAACACTTTGTGCAAGTGTTGTGTGGACATATGTGTTTGTATCTTTTGGTTAAATAGCTAGGACTGTAATGTCTGGGTCAGGTGGAAGTGTAGATTTAATTTTTAAGAATTAATTTTAACCGCTAGTATCTCACTGTGGTTTTAATTTGCATTTCCGTGATAACCAATAATGTTGAACATCTTTTCATGTACTTTTGCTCATATATACGCCTTTCTAAAGTGACTTCACATGTTTGTTTTTCTAAATGCGTCGTTTGTCTTTTTATTATTAAAGTTTAAGAGTTCATTGTATATTCCAGTTACAATTCCTTTGTCTGATACATGTGTTGTGACTATTTTCTCTCAGTTTGTGTCTCGTCCTTTTGTTTTCCAAAAGTTTTAAATTTTGATGGAATCTAATTTATCTATTTTTTTTATGTTTTGAATTTTTAAGTTCTCTCTAAAATATCTTCACCTACCCCAAGATGGCAGATTTTTTTTCCTACAACTTTTTCTAGAATTTTATAGTTTAAGTTTTACATTTAGGTCTATAATCCATTTTGAGTTACATTTCATGTTTGGTATGAGGCAAGGATCAATGTTCACCTTTTTCCATATAGATATCCAGTTGCTCCAACATTATTTGCTGAAAAGACTTTCCTTTCCCCACTGAATTGCCCTCTTTGTTAAAAAAAAAAAATCGGCTGTATATGTATGTGTCTATTTCTAGACAATATCTGTTCTATTCATTTATTTGGTTATCTTGTTTTCAATACCATACTGTCTTGATTATTATAACTTTGTAGAAAGTCTTGGTTTCAGTTAAGTCCTGAAATGTTGTTATTTATTTACTCTTTTATTTTTGGCCATTCTAGATCCTTTGTATTTTTCTATAAATTTTAGAATCTTCTTGTTGATTTCCACAAAAATAGAAAGTTCACTGGATTTTTTTTAAAACGTCTTTATTGGAATATAATTGCTTTACAATGGTGTGTTAGTTTCTGCCTTATAACAAAGTGAATCAGCTATACATATACATATATCCCCATATCTCCTCCCTCTTGCATCTCCCTCCTACCCTCCCTATCCCACCCCTCTAGGTGGTCACAAAGCACTGAGCTGATCCACCTGTGCTATGTGGCTGCTTCCCACACACTATCTGTTTTACATTTGGTAGCATATATAAGTCCGTGCCAGTGTCTCACTTCGTCCCAGCTTACCCTTCCCCCTCCCAAATACCATATGCTAACACATATATATAGAATCTAAAGAAAATAAAAAATGGTTTTGAAGAACCTAGAGGCAGGACAGGAATAAAGACATTGGATGTTTTTATTGGAAATATGTTGAATGTATAGAGCAAATGTATATTTGTTTGCTAGGGCTACCATAACAAAGTACCACAGACCAGGTGGCTTAAATAAAGTGATTTATTTTCTCTCAATTCTGGAGGGTAGATTTTGAGATCAGGCTGTCTGCAGGGTTTGCTTCTTCTGAGGCCACTCTTCTTGGCTTGTAGATGGCCATCTTCTCTCTGTGTCTTCACATGGTCTTCCTCTGTACGTGACTATGTCCAAATTTCCTCTTCCTTTAAGGATACCAGTCATGTTGGATTAAGACCCACCTTAATGACTTTATTTTGTCCTAACAACCTTTTAAAGACCCTATGTCCAAATACAGTTACATTCTGAGGTTTTGGGCGTTGGGACTTAAATATATGAATTTTAGGAGGGCACAATTCTCTCTATAACAAAATGTATCACATTTTCTGGCTGTTTAAAAATTTTTTTCAGTTATCTTTTACTTAAGCAGTTTGGTTATAAAGTGTCTATGTGTAGTTTTTTTGCATTTAATTCTGTTTAGTGTTCACTTAGCTTTATATCTTTCATCACATTTGAGAAATTTTTGGTTTTGATTTCTTCAAATATTTTTTTCTGCCCAGTCTCTTTCTCCTCTCCTAATATTTCAATTTTCCTCAGTTAGGCTTTTTGATATTTTTCTCACAGGTCTTTGAGGCTCTGTTAATTTTTATTTCCAATATTTGTTCCCTGTCCTTCAGATTGAATAATTTCTATTGACTGTCTTCAAGTTCACTGATTTCTTTCTTATCCGTTCTGTTCAGCTCATCCAGTAAGGTTGGTTTTGCTTTTTGTGTGTTTTGTTGTTGTTGTTTGTAGTTGTTTTACTTTAGATACTGCATTTTTTTTTTTTTTTTTTTTTTTTTGGCGGTACGCAGGCCTCTCCCTGCTGTGGCCTCTTCCGTTGCGGAGCACAGGCTCTGGACACGCAGGCTCAGTGGCCATGGCTTACGGGCCCAGCCGCTCTGCGGCACGTGGGATCCTCCCGGACTGCGGCACGAACCCATGTCCCCTGCATCGGCAGGTGGACTCTCAACCACTGCAGCACCAGGGAAGCTCTGCATTTTTAACTTACATTACCAGTTGGGTTTTTGTTATAAGATCTATTTATCTGAGAATTCTTTTCATTGAATTCAGTGCCTTTTATGTGTTTTGGGAGCATGGTAACAATCACTGCTTTAAAAATCTGTGTCAGGCATTGTTCTTTCTGAGTGATCTCAGGGCTGGCATTTGCTGATAGTCTTTTCCCTTGAGAATTTTCCACATTTTACTGATTTTTTTATACACTGAGTAATTTTCAATGGTGTCCTAAACACTGTGAATATTAAGTTCTATAGGCTCTGGGTCTTGTTATAATCCTCTAGAAAATGTTGATGTGTTTGTTTTAGGAGCAGTCAATCCGGTTAGGTTCAGACCTTAAGTTCTCTTTGTTTCTGTGGGTGGTGGTTCAAATCTCAGTCCAGTCCTCAAAGCCTTTGCTACACTGGTTTGGTTCTGTGCCACACAGGCATAGCTCAAGGGTGAATCTGAGGCTTGTGACAATTCATGCTCACAATTAGTGGATTCTCTTCTCCAGTTCTCTTTTCTTCATGATTCCCCCTCCCCTCCAACCTGCAGAGGCTACTCTGCTGGTTTTGGAAAGATGGGGTTTCTATAGAGTTTTAGTTACTTGCTTAGGTTACTTTTCAAACTTTTAGCTTTCCTTCATAATCTGCCCATTTTCCTTTATTTTTCTAGATTCTTCAGGTAATTATTTTGCCTTTCATCTATAGCTTTCAGTTGTAATCAGTGTGAAGGGTGAGTTATAGTGTGCTTAAGCCACCATGCCATAACAGCAACTCCAGCTCAACAGCTTTGAGAAAATATTAAAGAACTAAGCCTTCTAGCATTCTGGATCACCCTTTATTTAATATCCAAATAAGATAATTTGAGATTCTATCAGTCCTATGTATTGTAGAATATTTTCATAACATTTATGTAAATTTCTAGGTGTCTTACATCCTCCTACAGTCTTCACTGTGGCCTACTTTACCCAGTCATCAGTTCCCAACT